CGTATATTCAGAAGAGACTTTATTTTTTCGTTTATTAAGTGTGTATCGAATATGAGGTCAGGTGATCCACCTAGGGCCTTCTCAGTCCCTATATAATCGGGACCTGACTGACTCTTCTTTGGATCGGTGTAAAAAACCTAGTGTTTGAGCGTGAATGCTGACCTCACCACCTTCTTGTATAACCGTTAGCCTAGAAACATCATTTTATTACCATTTAATGAGAACGAATCCAATACCTTTGATATATTTGGAGTGGTACAAGTTTTAAATGGATTTATTGAGAGATTAATAGAGTTTTACATAAGTATAAATTAAAATTATCGTTGTTTTTTTCCATACGAGCCAAGCATTTATTAGTTACTATCTTGTATCGTTGACGTTTAAGATAAAAAATAAATGAAAAAAATCCGTTACATAAAGCTTAATAACAATGATATAATTTCGAAATCTATGATAATTCTTGGTATAATTACTAAAACATTATTTAAAAATTAATAGATTTACAGAATTTTTTTAGAAATTGTTTACCATTCGACAGTCTCTTATTAAATGTGTTTTATATACCCTTTAAAATTTGAGAATCGATTTTGTACAACACTATAATCATCTCTTTAGTCTTTCTATTTAAAAAATCTATATTTTAAAAATTTTTCTTCGTTAAATTTTATTCCTCTTTAAAGACCTCTTTTTGTCATTATTATTAACATCCGTCAAAAACTTCATGGATAGCTTCCTTCACCTTTGACCTACAACTTTTAATGTGGAGTTTTCTCATAAAATTAATTAATTTAAAGAGTCATTGAAAATTCATGAATACTCATTTGCTTTCCACATATGACATAATTTCCACATAATCGTAGGATAATTTGATAAAAAAATCGGAAAAAAAACAAAAATATTGTGTTGTTTGGCATGACCTCAACTCCCAGCAAGTCAAAATAACGAAGTGATATAGGTCAAACCGTCCATATTTTTGTTGGGCACATTTTTTTTTAATATTGCTGTTTAATAAATCGAGATTATCTATTGAATCATCATTGATGGTCGACTGTTGAATCGAAGTTATAGTTTTATATTTTATTTATAAAATTTTATATTATATTTATCTTGATTTTTCTGACTTTTCTGCCCAAAGTTCAGGATTTTTTCTTTTTTTATATGGACTGTTTGACCTATACCTATAACCTCGTTATTTTGACATGTTGGGGGTTGAAGTCTCGCCAAACAGCCCAATATTTTTGTAGGCCACCTTTTTTCTTTCTTTTTTTTATATATATTGTTATCAAATTATCTTTCGATTCAAGTGGAAAGCAAATGATTATGTATGAGTATTTAATGCCTCCTTAAATTAATCAATTTAATGAGAAAACGCCACATTAAAAGTAGTAGGTTATTATGATAAGGTGGAGCCTTTAACGTCATACATTTTACCTCGTACATTCATTTTTAACACACCTTTCTTTAACCTCGAATTTTGAGGCGTAAATAAAATATAACAAGTTAGAGACTGTAGAATGGTATACAGCTTGAAAGTTTAAAAAAACAGCTAATATTACCTAATAAAACTTTTACAAAGTCGTTTAAATTTTCTAACGATTATTCTTGGATGAAAGCCTACACAGCTCGAAAACCTTGAATTTTCTAATAATTAAATTGTTGACTACAGAGAAGGGGAAAATCATTGATTTATGGATTGTAATAACGGTAACTTAAGAAAAAGATCATTTTTTGATTCATTATTATCATTAAGGTTAATTTCTAACAATTGATTAACAATGCGAACTTTTCTAAGCAGTTCTCGATAGTTAGGTTTTATTATTCGTTATTATTAAAGTTTAACATTATGAAAACAACAAAACCCATATCCTGACGAAACAGCTACATGGCCGCGAAAAAAATCGTATATTCTCTTCCCGTCCCCTATCTTATATATATATATATATATATATATATATATATATATATATATATATATATATATATATATATATATTTATCGGCCAACCGAACATCTGTTTCTCCCAAATACTCTTCATTAGCGCATTATGTTTTCTAAAACGCTGTTCATGGATCAATTGGCACCATTTCTCATCTTGGAATTTCGTAAAAGATTGTCCTGAATGATATTCAGTCATGTGCGCCTACTGATATGCTCATTTTTCCAAGGTTTTGCTTGACGTAGCCTGTACCAACAATTGTTTAATATTTTCTTTTAATTGTAATATCTTTAAAACTAGTACATTATTATTTTAGTAATTCGGTGAATATACATATTTTTGCGTTAGTAATATTATAGCCTAGATGTTTTACGTCAAAACATTACAACCAAAAACGTTTCGACCAAATTTGTAATGTGTAATCGATTAGAAATTTATGATCTTACTTTAACTGAAAATTAAAAAAATATATATAAAAATGTGTTTTTAAATGCATTTGTATTAATGAGCATCTGGAAGGAGAGTGAAATTTCCGAAGATTATTGTTTCATTTGTCTAAAGGTTATTAACATATTGAAGCCTTGACTATGTTAGAGAATCGTGTCCATACATATTTCCAAGCTATCGTCGCTTGTGGCCATCTGTTTTAAAACATTCCATTTATTTATAGACAGATATTTTTGCACGTCGCTATCTAATGTTATTTTTTTTCATTTAATTTTACAATAGAAATATATTACCATAGATTTATATTTTCATTTTAATTAAAGTCTTTCTATGTTTTGTTTTGTTTTTATCTTAAAATTTTCGTTTTGTTTTATATGTTTTACAAGGCCTTAACATAAAATCAGGTTGAATAACATTGAAATTAATAAAAAATTAGATTGCGTAATTCTATTATCCAGATAATCATGGTGTGATATCAACCCACATCTTTAACTGATGAGTCTAATATTTCATCAGAATTACAATAATGTAACAAATCTTGATCGTTTTTAAGCTTCAATAAACATGAAGTTCTTATGATTATATGTTTACTTGTCTTAAAAATTACTGTATGTTGACAATTTACAAAAATACTTTAAAACAGGGCTTGAAATGAAATTTCAACTTATATTTTTTAACAGTTTCGGTATGATTGGAATTTTTATTTTAAATTTTTTTCCAGTTATTTCGGAACTAGAACTTTTTCCCTAGCAACTGTTTAAATGAAGGTTGTATAGAACATTTAAAAGTTTTCTTTAACAACGGATACTATACATTAGTGTTGCCCAAAATCGGTCTTGGTCTTGCACTTTGCAAGACCAATACCAAGTCCGCCTAACTGTTGCAAGACCAATACCAGGACTGGTAAAAAAAAATCGATGTTTTTAATAAAAAATAAGGCAAAATAGTTACTAATACTCGACAATCTTAGTTTCTATATGTTAGTAATTGGTATAACCAATATACTTTTGCATTTAACTTTTCATTTGGGCTTAATTAGATACTTAATACAGTATGTTAATTAGATTACAAAATACAGTACTGTATGACTGTTGTGAGACTCTTGCGCAAGACCAAGACCATGACCAATCTGAGTTTGCAAGACAAAGACTAGTCTGGGTCTCGCATTTGGGCAACACTACTATACATACTGTATAGTTGTTCAAAGGTTTTCTGTCTTTGATGAATGTTTTAAGGACTGGCTCCATCTTCTTCCGGAAGCACTTTGTAGAAGAGTTTTGGATTTTCTTTGAAAATAATCTCGAAATTCCTTGCATGCCTTCCACTTTGTCAAGATTACAGTTGCGTTCAGTATCTTTCTTTCATTTTTATAAGCATCATAGGCCACTGGATTTTTTGTGGCAAGGTAATACTTCCATGCATCTTTTTCCGCTTTATGTTCTCCTTCAGTTCCTGTTACCACCAAGGTGTTCTCCTTGTATGACCCTCCGTTCCTCCATATCCAAACGTACTGCCCGCTGGAAAAAGAACAATCTTGCAGAATAAAGACCAACAATCTTCGATGTTGTCCGATTCTCATTGAGCTTGAGTCTCTTTTACTAACTTTTCAAGCTCTTCCTGGTATTGTTTTGCAGTTTCCTCATCTTTCAATTTAAAGATTTGATTCTCTTTTTCTTTTCCATTTTTAAAGGAGCTCTTGTTTTGGTTTTAGGTTAGTCTATCCACATCTTGTCCATATTAGTAGATAGTTAGTGGTCGCTCCCCATTTCGTAATTTCTTTTAATCTATATCTATTAATTCCTTTTTCATATTTCTTAGGGTCATGAAATAATCAATTATGGACTTCTCACTTTTGCTCAGGTCAGCTCTAGTATACTTATGAATACTTTTGTTTGGTTTGAGAGCACAACCAGGTCGTTATTTATCCCCAAGTTTAAAATCCTTTCTCCATTATCATTTGCGATTTATTCTCTCTACATACCTATTATCTATTATATAAATTGCATACCTATTATATAAATATATGCATACTGCATACCCTGCATATACCTTGCCAGTCTGTCGGCGTTTCTTCCCATTCTCTCGTTTAGATCTCCTACTACAATAGGGATTCCTTCCGAGTTGTCAATTATTATTTGTTCAACTTCGAAGAATATTTCCTTGTCTGCTAGGCATGCAGCTTCATTTGGGCCATAGGCTATATTACATTTAACTACGGTTCACCCTCCTCTAGTATCACTGTCATAAGCGTGTTGTCAGTAGAGTCTAGAATAATGTTTTATCTTTCCATCTTTGGTGAAAAATACAACGATCTCCTCCCGCTGCTCTATCCTGTGTCGTGTCGTCTCTCCTGAGAATAGAATGACATTATCCTCATCTCGCCTTGGCTTTTCCGTTTTGTTTCTGTGATAGCTAGTATATCTACCTTGGCTCGTTTCATTTCTTACTTCAGTTTAGATTCTTTTCCTTTCAGACTTCTTATGTTCCATGTTCCAAATCTTTAAATCCTTTTACCCCACCGTTCCATGATATCGGGCTCCATCAAATCTGCCCGACTTTTTTCTTTCTATTCCTGTAATGAAATAATTTCAGGTCAGCAGGGTATTGTCCTTCAGGATGATAGCACAGTTGTGGGGCTGCCACTTTTGGAAGACTATGCTCTCCCACTTCCCGCTTCAGTCCTCTAATGATCTGGGTTTCATACTTTCTGAGGTAGCTATTCTAGTGTTGTCCTCAGGTTGCGGGGAGAAATCCCTCCCCCTTTTTTCGTGCTTGGGACATCAACTGCAGTTTTTTAACCCTACAGCGGGCGAAGTTCCTTCCTTCTATCTAAATCAGCCTTATAACGTAATAATCATAATACAAACTTCTTCGTCTAATTTGTATTTATAATGCACTTCATTCTTTGAAAAATTCGTCTGATATTTAACAAAATATTTATGTTATGAAATTTTAGTCTAAAAATCAAAGTAAGTACTTACAGCTAAGAAAAAAAAAATTATTCTATTTTCTGGATGGTTATTAAATAAAACATGTTAAGCAAAATAATTGTTATAATTGAATAATAGATTGAATCATCCGATGCAGGGCTGTAGTGTTATGTAACTTAATCTTCAACGAACGGCTGATATCGCTAGTGTCAATACACTTGTCTCCTGTGAAAACAAACTAATCGATATGCGGGAGCTGCCCATGTTCGATTAGCCATCAAACCAATCCGTCATTGTTCTATTCTATTATTATTTTAACGTAATTTTATAATTAATTATATCGAATTTTATCGCCGGAACTATCAATATTTTTTTAATTTTAAATATTTTCATTAAAAATAACACAATTGAATTATACTAATTATCCTGATAACCAATCATATAAATCATTTGCGTACGACTTCTTTGACGGACTAAAGCAAAGCAAACGGACAAGTGAATAATTATTAAAATCAGTATATAATCCAATACGCTGAACCGTTGCTAAAATTGTCCGATTTAAACAATTTTTTTTAATAGTTTTGTCGAGAATTTAATAAACTTTTAAAAAATATTACCACTGCACAGGGATCCTCCCCCAAGATCAATGGTGCAAGAAGCTATCTCCCCCTCCTCCAAAGATGTTTTATTAGTCACCTTTTATTAAAATCAAAGCAAGCTAAGGTAGAATTAGAAAAATCGTAGATCATGTACAATTACACTTTTTTCGGTCTATTCCTTAAAAATCATAACCCCATCGAAATTTACCTCCTCAAAAATTCAAAAACCTGTTAAAATATGCTCCCCTCAAAATTTTGATGGCGCAACTCGCGCCATGAAACTCCCTTCTGGGCTCCCCTGCCACTGCATACTAAAGATATATATATATATATATATATATATATATATATATATATATATATATATATATATATATATATATATATATAAAGAGATATTAACTTTCATTTTTCAGAATGGGGAAACCTACCTTAAGCCCAAATAAAAAATTAGAAGTGTTAAATGCAAAAGTATATTGCCTGTACCAATGCTTTACATGTAGTAACTGAAATTGCTTTGTAATAACTATTTTGCTTTAATTTTTATTCACAAAAAAGGTTTATTTTGGTAAAGTGGTAATACAAGTGGCAAAGTGCAAGACCAACACCGATTTTGAGTAACATCTAGTATTGTATTGTAGTATTTTATTTCAATGGATGTATGTAATATGATGTTGTTCGTATATACTGTTCGGAACATTTGTTATAAAAGAATAAGTATGTAACATTAGGTTTTTCGAAGATATTGTTTCCTTATGCTTTTTTTTTTTCAAATTAATCATTAGAAATAAAGCCTTTCCTATAGGTGCACAAAACTATAATTCTCAAAAAATAATTCTCTGATAATACAATGTTTTCTTTTCCACTTTAAAATTATTTAATTTATTCCTCTAACTTTAAACGTATTCATTAGGAGGAGTCAGGAGTTATATTTTTTTTTATATATATATCGTACTTTAACATGTCTGTAATATACCTTAGGAATTATTGTTAAATTAAAAAAAAAACAAAGCCTTATGTCATAATGTATGTAACAATGTCATTTAATCAAAAATTAAATTGTATTAAATAGAAACATTTATAACAACCAAACTGTCTAAAATAAGATTCGCCATACTATAAGAGTTACCATCACTCCAAGGTAATACATTCATACTTATGTTAGTATGCGGTGGATATTTCTTATATATTGGAGTGATGGAAATTTTTTTCTTACTTAAACGTCTGAAAACGTTTAAGTTTTACTTTCTTTGACCTGCATTTATATGGTCTTGTTGCTTGAAATGGAAAACCTTGATTGTCAGGTCATTTCTTGACATTTGAAAGATTTAGGTTTTTATTTATTTTTTTTTTCATAATAATCTTTTAACTTATGTTTACGATTTTGGTTGAACCCAAAAAATACAATTTAAAAAAAAAAAAGATTTTTTTAGTTCATGAAATTTACAACTGTATTAATAATATACATATATCTAGTAAATGTGACGAAAATAAATACGAGAATAGAAACTAACAATTGGTAGCACTCCAATACAAATTTATTTATATTTTTCACTCCATGAATATTGGCACCCTAGACAAATGTCTGATGTTTGTATGACTTTCAATGGGAAAAAATGTCTGTGAGGAACAACTGAAAGATGTTTAGGACCTTTGTGAACGTTAGACATTTGCAGATGCCGCAGCTCCGACTTGCACCTCCGACTCCACCTCCCAGCTTCCTGAGGAGGGTGGATAGATCAGACGCCGACTTGGAGAGCTTCATCACCGGCCTCGCTTGCGTCGAGAACTCTTGGGTTGATGCAAGGGATTTGTCGCACAGGTACCGCGATCTTGTCCTGATTTTGGGATGCTGCATGAGCCCTTATCGGCATAGCTTTTGGGATTTCATAGTTCTCCGAATAATAATAGGTTTTATCTTATCTAGTCCAGTTTCCTTTCTTTCAAATCACAGCTGATTGTTGAGTCCACAATGTCGTTAATTCAACCTTATTATCTGGCATATAAGAATTCTTTGTCTGTAACAGTTCCTATTAAAACTAACGTATTTTATATCATGATGTAGAATTTTTGATACTAAAGAAAACGTACTGTAATAACAGCCATGAAATTATGTGCAGGAAATAATAAAAAATTACTAATCATAATTGCATGACATTCTAACATGCGTTATCGATAAATTTTTAATGATGTGTCACCAATAAATATAATTAATACCTCAGGACTATTTCTATTTTTAATTTTGGAATTAGTTCATTAATCCATAGTTTCACTACTTAATAGTAATGTAGTGAGTTACACTTTTTTTTTTTTAATTTATTGAATTGGCGGTGGCAATTTTCTGTTTGGGAACATTCCTCGCGCCGACTTATAGGATTGCAGAGTTTTGAAAAAAACGAATAATCATTTTATTTATCTTACACTTTTACAATATTTCCCAATATGGATCATATCAATAAACTTTTATTTTATATGAAGATATTTTAGATACACAGAACGCTTGATCTATTATTTTATTATTAAAGAGTCATATAACGTAATAGAAATTATTCGAAAAAAAAGCCCTAATCATAATTGCATGATTCTAACATAAGCATGATAAAAATTAAATTAACTAATACTAGCAATAATATAAATAATAACTTACTATATTTTACAATGTTTATTATTTTTATTTTTATTTACATTGTGAGTTCTCGCACTCCTACCTACTAAGAGGACTTGATCCTCCGACCTGCGAGAGCTGCAATGTCCAAAGGGCAGTAAAACACATTATTCAAGACTGCCCTTCATTTAAACATACAAGGAAAAAGTTAGACATGGCACAGAGTCTAAAACAAAATCTACAAGACAGTGAAAGTGCAGTCAAAAAAACTTTAAGGTTTTTAAAAGAGATAAAACTATACAACAGAGTGTAATTTAAAGGCGTTGCCAATGACCCTACAGGGTAGAGGCAACAAAATATCAAATAAATAAATAAATTTTAAATTTAATATTAAACATTAGCGTTTTAATTAAATGCCAATTCATTTAATGATCAAATGAAATGATATAGTAAAATTAAATTTATCTTAAAAACTTTTGGAAGTTGTTTCTGTATTTTTCACAACTATTAAATGGAGCATCAAAACGCAGAGATAGTTCTCAGTCATAAATAAACAATGGAATTGAGTTTTGTCATGGTAAGATTATTTTAGTCCATGTTCAGTTGCAAGATATCACTTCCTAGCCACTGATTTCAATTTGTTTCACGATCTTTTTTTTATATTGCTTTTATTCGTTTAATACAAACCTTCTATTTAAAAAAAATGTATTACGTTTTTGGCAGAATTCATTTAGTTTTTCCATTTTTGAATCATTTAGTTTTTCTTATTGGTTTCAAATAGTTTTTGCTATAGTATTAATTTTGTAAAATCTTTGTCATTTTTAACTGCATAGAAATATTAAATAATATACATGGTCAATAAGTTAGATTCTTTTCTGTAAGTAAACATAAAGTAGCAATTAGTTTTTGTAAATACATTCAGAAACATCATATATCCCACATTTTATGAATGTTTAACGCAATTAATATTACTTATTATATATTAAGAGATGAGATTTTAGTTTATGTGACTTTATTAAAATAATTTTTTAAGTATATTTTAATCACCATTTACATTGTTATCTTGGTTTATACATAATGCATATTCCGTATTTATTTGAGATCTCGGATCATTTAATCTTATCCAAGAGGGTACCAAGTAGTTAAACTACTCTTTGAACCACTAAATTGAACTTATTCTAGACTAGTTTTCACGACACATGAAGTTAGTGATTTATACCTCCTCGTTTTTAATAACATTTACCTGTTTACAGTCAACCCGTACTAACATAATATGTATTCTTAATAGACTTTTTTTTATTAATAGTCATTGTTTAATGTCTTATCATCGATTTTTGAACTGTGACTTTATTCACGTGATATAATTATTATTTTCGGTTTGTAATTTAATCGATTTTCTTATTGTCATATGGCAATTTATTATAAAAAAATAAAGATTTATCAACGTGCCTTGAGTTATATAGTGGACCGATGCAAACTGTAACACATCTGTTTCGCTGATGCCTTTCGATATTAATGGCTGATTCGATAGCATCCGAAGAATCTAAAAATAGAATCGATGTGTTTTTTATACACGACTCACGTTCAGCCATTTTAAGCGTTCAATCAGTTTCTCATCTTCCACATGGAATCTATTTAGTTTTATCCTTAGATTTAGTTTTTGCCGATTGTATACATATATTAGACTGGCAAATAAGTCCTTTCGGTTTTTCTGTTTATTTTCATGTCACTATGATACACTTCTTATCTGATGAATTAATCCCTAAAGTGGATTGTTTATCCTGTTTGTAATATGTCAACAACTATATCTGTTAACTCTTGTTGAAACTAGCTTAGTATTGTGTTTGCTATTGCACTGTGAATATGGAAGAAAATATCATTCATTATCGGCATATTTTGTTGTATTATTTTAAAAAAGGTAAGCGTGCTGCAGAAGCTCATAGAAAAATTTGCAGTTTATGGAGATGATGCCTTAACCGAACGCACCTGTCAAAATTGGTTTGCCAAATTTCATTCAGGAAATTTTGACATCAATGATGCTCAACGGTCTGGTCGCCCACATGAAATTGAAACGAGCAATGTTAAGGCCATTGTTGATCAAAATCCCACCCAATCAGTGCGAGAGATTGCTATGGCCCTAAATGTGTCGCACACAAGCGTAGAAAACCATTTGCACAAGCTCGGCTATGTTTCCAGGCTTAATGTTTGGGTCCTCACATGATTTTTTTTCGAAAATCACAAAAAATGTTATAACTTCAATACGACTTTAGCTATCTACAAGAAATTTAGCAGGAATTTAGGGCCACATAAACTACACAAAATGACATCAACAGGACCTTCGTAAACAAACTACAAATGGAGATAAAAAAATACAAACCTACAAGGAGTTTTTGTATATTTATTCATTATGTAGACATTAAAACAAAAAACATTCACATGGCTTTGAAGAGCAATAATTCAGCTTTCCAATGGATATAGTAGTATCGATTTTGGAGAAAATCCTGAAGAGTTATGAATGATCGGAAGTGTGTTGTGTTCCACCAAGACAACGCTAGACTCCACACCTCATTTGTCACTCGCATTAAATTATTGATCCTTAAATACGATCTTTTGTCCCACCCTCCCTATTCACCAGACCTAGCTCCATTTATTCCGGTCTCTGCAGAACTCCTTGAATGGAAAGAAATTCCAAAAGGAAGAGGACATCAAAAACCACTTGGACCAGTTTTTTATCAATAAAATCCAAACATTCTATGAACATGGGCATGATGCAGTTACTGGAAAGATGAAACAAAGATATTGAATAATGGTCAATATATTGTAGATATATTAAATATTAGAATAAACTTTATGTCTATAACACATTGAATTTTATTTCACCCTGAAAAACCGAAAGGATTTATTTGCCAACCAATAATATGTACTCCCATTCTACTTTCTTTTTTTAAAATTAAATATTCAAATAATAATTTTATCTCATTTCATAATTTTGAAAATTTCTAGCCCGATCAGAACGGTTGATCATGTGGATACGCTTTCTCTTCCATTGTGTGTACGGAACAAATGCCTGCTAGGTACCGCAATGCAACGGCTATGTACTTTGATTCTTTCATTATGATTTACTCAAGTATTTTATACCATGCCGGATCTCAACAGATCCATTTAAAATAACATTCTTAATTTCGTTGGTAATGGTCACACTAGTTAAAATATCGTCCACAACCATTTAGAAGATGGCCAATTGATCCTATCGGTTGTTTGAGGCTTTGGAAAAATAAAAACGATGGTGTATTATTGAAATATTTCGTGACCAAAACTTCAGTTTCTCATATACCTAGCTGTAAATTGCTTAAATTGGATAATTCTTAGCTCCTGCTATCTATTAAATAATGTTTGTATTTCAAACAGTATTTCAAAGACTGTCTTTTACGTAATTTAATCTTGGCTTACAAAACAGCTTAGAGAAAGTAATCTTGAGATAAGCATATTTCACTCTAAGTACTTTAGGCAGCCTTTATATGTGAGCACTATTGTTGACTGAATTATAAGACAATATACTTCTATTGTCCGAAGTATAGAATGTTCTTTGTTCATCATTGTTTTATTTAATCAATCCAAAATAATTTGTATTTTTCACAAAATGATTGCTAAATATATTTAGAACTTTATAAATAATTTTATTTAATTTATATATAAATTTTAATATTGGAATATTACGATACAAGTCTCAAGTATGATATTATTATTCGTTTTTATACTGATGGTCTGAATCTTTTATTATTGGTTACATAAATGAACTATCTTCTTTAAATAAAAATCATCTTTAAGACACCATAAGATCATTTCAATCATTCCCCCATTCAAAAAATGTTCATTCATTTTCTCTGTTATGTCTCGTGAACTGATAAGTGTATTCTCGTGGTTCAGCCTGTTTTCCAAATATTTTATGTTAGCGTGAAAAGAAAACGAATGCGACAATATCCTACTTTTCATTCGTTTTCATTTTTATGTCTCGTGAACGTGTAAATGGATTCCAGCGGTCAATATTATTTTCCAAATATTTGAATGTAGCCTGAAGGGAAAGGAGTGTGATGAGTTTCTCACTATTTATTCGACTTTTCTTTTAGTTTATGCAGTGGATCAAAAAAGTATTGGCACACATAACTTTTTCAGGTTTTATAGTAATAAAATCCGAAATTGATTTTCTAAACATTTTTGTTTAGTAAACGATTTAGAAAAATACATAATTAGAGTAAAAGAAACATTTAAATTTACTTAATTAAAAAAATCTTACTTACTTACTTAATCCAGTCCTCTGTTACCGCTGAGCAGTGTGAGGCTCCTTCTTATAGA